AAATATTACCAAATCCAGATTTGCGACTGTTCATACACAGAAAATAAATTATTATCCACGTCAAAGTACCAATAATAAAATGAAACAAAGCTGGAAACTATATGAATTAATTACGACACCGTTCGCATGGTTCAATCAGACTTGCACGATAACACACCAGCCACTCTACATGGCGGTTTCATCGACAGTGGAGAATAGAGACGAAATGAGGCAAATTTCAGGAGCAGGTCTTCATCAATGTAAACCGTATCACAGCCAACTATGCTATATACCTCGATTCTCAGCAGACAACATCCAAGGTCCAGAGTGTGCTAGAAAGTTGTATGAGGGCACAACTGTCCAGCAACTAGCCCAATACTGTCCAATGAGTTGTCACTCAGCAACATCAATGATAATTTCGGAAATATCTGAAGAAGTTTATATGTTGACACACCCTAAAAAGGGGTTGGAGGTCACGTGCAGAGAGAATAAATCCTATAAACTCAACCCAGAGCATCCTCATCAAGGGTCGATAAGGTGAAATTACCTTGTAACTGTCAATTACAGTCAGAAACGGACATAGTCATTCCAAACGATTTCCATGCCCCGACTTTTTGGTGTCGTATGACGCTCAAATAACTCACATTATCCCAGCAACATGGTCTACATTAAAATCATTTGTTTTGAATCCAAAATCAAACTACCTTTCACCTACTTATAAAAACATGTCGGAATGCCTCAACAATAATTGGACTCTCCATATACCTCACGTTAACCTAACTTCAAGTGAAACAACAGAGAAAAATATAATTAGTCTAATTCGACAAACAATTCCAATGAACTCTAATAGTTACACTTACGGATTCCATTCGGACACATTATTCCTATGCTGGAATATTGTCCTCTCATTTCTAGTTGTTTACCTATTATTTAAAAACACAAGTGTGACACTCACTACGCCACTTTTCACAAGGACTAATGGTCAAGAAATTACCGCAAACACGACACATGACGCAGTAATGGGCGAATGGGCCTCATTTATACTTGCTTCACGATATTCATTCTATTCCTGATACTACGTCTTGTTTATTTTTACTACAAAAGGACCTCCAAGAAACCCAGAAATGACAGACAAACAATTGAAAAGAAAAATGAAGAGACTTACGCACAAGACAGAGAACTTAACGAAATGACCTCGAAGGGTAATTTTCAAATAACTCTAAAATCAGAAAGGAATAATACTTTAAGATATAGCCTTGAAATTATAGACGATAAAGACATCCGATCACTGTCCCCTGGTGATAAAGTAAAAGCTGAAATAGAGCTTGTTAAAATAGACGATTGAATGCCCCGTATAAAGGGAGTATTCCTGAGATACTTAAGTATGCCCTACTTATCTCAGATTTTTAAGAAATAATTTATTAATTTTGAAATATTGAAGAATTTGTCAAATAAATTATAGGTACCTAAATATAATTACGCGTACTAGTGCAAAAAGATTTGCTTTTTTATTTAAGTCTAAGCCATCAGCGCACAAATTGGTATTAGAATAAATATCAGAGTAAATAGTACGATAAATGCACTAGATTTTTATGCAGGCGCCTGACGTGAATAAATAAATATATAATAATTATATAAAGTATACAAACTGATGTTTAATAAATATGTATAATAAAGTTTATAAAAAAGGTCGTAGGTAGGGGACAGAAGGGCATACAACTGGATCGGATTGTTCTGAGAAATCCTACGACAAAATTATAAGAAAATATAATTTATTTTTTTTTCTCTATTTTGAACTATGAAGTAACGCATTAATTTTTTTCCTTTCTGTACGAAAATAAACTTGAATACCTACGCATTAAATAAAGCGTACACCTTGCCTTATTACGGCAAATATTTAGTCAAAGTTTCTTTACCTTATACTTATACATTTAAAAATGGTTACATTTTTTTTATTAATATTTTTTAGTTGGTTTAAGGTTTTCATTTATTTATAGGATATAAGCTCAATTAATAGCACATACTCACACTTTGTTCTTTTTTTTCATGTAAAATACCTGCCAACGCAACGCTTTTCCTGCCATAAGGATTCCACATTCCAACATCAAGACTCCAAGATCGTTCAACAGGAGACCACTACATTGACCACCGGCATTGATGCACACACGTTCAGGACAAAAACCTGTAATTTATTCCAATACCTGACGCACCTGGCGCATTGAATCCGACAATTCAATTCAATGCCAAATGGTTCATTGAAGATCCAGACTCCAGAGTATCAGCACAGCAAACAAAAATTCGAGACGCAAAGACCTCGATAACATTGACCAGATGCTGTTGTGTTAACCATCATTCCACTTTACCATGGGAAATAAAACCACCACCGCCCAAGATTAGGAAATGTTAAACCTAATCTCAGGACACAAAAGTTTACTATAAGCCAGTAGCATCAGTTATAATGCACCATCAAAAGTAAACAAATAACATGACCCAGAAGCTAACCGGGATGTAGGTCAAGTTCAGGCCACTAAAGCATAAACACCGTCGTCCGCAAAGCAACTTAGCGCTCGGCGGGAACTATCGATCGAACACCTATTGATCGAACGTTGTGTACCGTGTACCAAAGTCAAATACCACATACTCCGCACCCCGAACTCATCATTTGTTACCAGTGCTGGTAAAGCCATATGGTCATATTGGTCACAACCAATGACATCCAACGCATTCAAATTGGTTCATTCAATGGTTTGGAAGCTACGTCAAAGCCAGATACCAGACGCCGCTAGCAGTAGCAGCAAGCCGGTCAGAAAAATCACCAGTCAAACGAAGAAATCAGCAAATGGAAGAAATCAGCAAATGGAAGAAATCAGCAAATGGAAGAATCAGCAAATGGAAAGAACAGGAAAAGGCACACTTCAATTTTATTTATCAAAATTGTTAATTTTTTTTTCTCTCTCAGCGTTTTGGCAAGGTAATCAATATTATTATTTAATTTTTTCTCTCTCTCTTTCAATGTATACTCAATTTTCCATAAGTATTTTTTATGTGTAGGTATGTTTCTGTAAATTATATATTTTTTTTGTAGGAATTATTAATAGAAAATGTAGGTACTTAGGAGAATTTAATTGGGTTTAGTAACCATTAACTTTTAACTTTTAGGTTTTAGTTTTAACTTTAACTTTTATCAAATTGTACTTGTAACTTGTATCAATTTTGCTTTGTTTTTATAATTAATTCTTTTCTTTTCTTTTAAAATATTTGAATTTTTTTTTTAAACGCTATGATTTAATTTTTTTTTTCTTTCTTCTTTTTTAGATCTTTATCGCTGGAGTCCAGCTTTCTGTAGTCCGAGGGAAATGTCAAGCCAAAAAATATCACCCTTTATAACATTATTATTCCAATACGAATTAACCAAAGTTCATTGACTAATAATGTCCCAATTTAGTTGCGCAATTCGGATGTTATATCAAATAAAGCAAACGCACTCAGAGTCAGCAAAAGCTTAAAGCCAACAACCTAGGTTTTAGGTCAATGATTTTTTGCTGACATTTCTGAATCGATTTGGATCGATAAAGCGTAATTTTCAAGTTAGTTGTAAATCTGAATTCGGGCGTTAAAGTCGAAAAAAGTTGTGCTACGGGCTAACGGGCTACAGGAAGATGGGATTCCGGTAAGTACCATTGTTAAACTTTAATAAATCCTCTAGTGTTCTCATCGGCCATCATTCACAACATTCACACTACTGTTCTTAATTTAATTATTGATTTTGAGAATAAATTAATATTTTTCTTGGTGTTACAAAACTTGATTGTTTTAATCTCTCAGATTCCCCCCGGTCCCTAGTTGCAACTAAATAAGATTGCAACAGTCTCAACCGAACAGGGCTGCGACAATATATTATAAGTTATTACGTTTTATTACCATCTATTACAAGTTATTACGAATAATTATTACGTGAAATAAAACTTTTTTTGTTTATTACTATTACGTCTTATTACCATTTATTACGTAATTATTACCGAAATGTGTACACCTATTACCATAGGTGGTTGACCCCTCGGATATACCCTATACCTAAGTTCAACTGTTTTGGAAATATTGACAGTTGAAAGTTGACTTTTTCGCAAATTTGACAGGCTGTAAGACCTAAACGGTTAACTTTCGAGCAAAAGCGATTTTTCATTTTTTTCTAAAATTTTCACAAGTTATCATTTGACACCAACTTTGAATTTAACCGAAGATTAAATTTATTTGGAATTTTCAATCAGGGATTAAATTCAAAGTTGATGTCAAATATTGGTGTCAACTGATAGTTTATAAAAATCTAAGATAAAAATGTAATATCGGTTTTGCTCTAAAATTAACCGTTTAGGATTTACAGCCTGTCAAAGTTGCAAAAAAGTAAATTTTCAACTGTCAATATTTCCAAAACAGTTGAACTTAGGTATAGGGTATATCACATGAAATCTGCTCAGAATTTTACGTAGAATCCAAATATCCAATAATATACAGGGTATTCTATTTGAAATAAGAAATTTGGAGCACGGCCAGCTTTTCTGAAACATCCTGTATATGCGAAAGTGAGTTTTTCAAAAAAAATTAATTTCAACCATAAAACTTTTATTTGGGACACTTTTTTCTAAAATGTCAAATAAAAAAGATAGAGGGGGTGGCATTTATAACCAATAACCCTGTACTTAATAATTCATCTAGAATTTTTTGATAATTGAAAAATTTAATTTTTTTAGAATCGATGATGATTAGATTTTCCTAAATTTTCCTAAATTTGTACAATAATCCAATTACGATCAATAAGTTTTGGTTGAGAAGTTGTTCCCATCTTTAAAATAAAATCATTCGATATCACAAGATCTATAGTGTTCTATTTTTTGTTATACTTGTGAATTCATTTATAAGTTGTTTTAATCCATGTGTATTTATTATTTGCTTAAATTCATTCACATTAGTAAACTCATTATTGTTTTAGAGCTTCCCCAATAATAATTCATACTCATTTTTAGGTCACTTGAAAAGTTTGCTCCTTGGATAAATCATGTGTATATAGTAACAAATGGACAAATTCCTTATTGGTTAAATTTGGATAATGACAAAATATCAGTTGTACCTCATAATGCTATTTTCAAGGATAAAAATAATTTGCCTTCGTTTTCTAGTCCTGCAATAGAAAGTAATTTGCATAGGTAATTTTAATTTTGCAGTTGCTACACTTTTCTAACTTAACTGGAATATTATTATTGACCGTTTTAGAATACCAGGCGTCTCGAAAAGATTCATATATTTCAACGATGACATATTTATAGGGCAACCTATGTATCTTGAGGACTTTTATGTTGCCAATAAAGGATTTTTAGTATATTTGGCATACATTTTACCTAGCTGTATCAAAAATTGTCCGTGGTTGTACGTTGGTGATGGACAGTGCGATCCTGCATGTAATTTCGAAATATGCCAGTTTGATGGTGGCGATTGTATTGAGGCAAGAATTGCCTATCTTGAAATATTTAGTTTTAATTATGTTTGATTTTATAGGAAAATAAGATGCAAAAGAATTCTGAAATGAACAATCTAAATACTTATGAACAAATTCAATCATTTGCAAATAATTCTACCAAAGATAATCTAACTTCAATGGAGCTTCCAAAAGATATTTGGACATCGGTCAAAGAAAAAATCTTAATTGAAGGCAATACGAGTCTCGAGGAAATATCCATGGCCGATTTGGTGGCTGCGCATAATAAAAGAACCCTCGATTGGGATAAACTTACTAAAAGAAAGAAACGAGATGCCCTAGAATCAAATAAAACGAATGATTCTGTGAAAAGGTTTTCAAGATCGGCTGAGAGGTTTGATGGATTTTTGGAATCTCTTCTCTATACTCAACAGATTTTTAATAAAAAATATGGATTTAAACCTAGATATGTGCCTGCCCATGCTCCAATATTTCTAGACAGGTGATATAACTTTACTAAAGTAAATCCTTTTGCATTCAATTAAACATTTTTGTCTCATTGAAGAAGTCGCATTATAGTATTAAAGAGTAGCATTGATTCAGCTGGAAATTATTATGTAATTGTCTATTTGCGTTGTTTCTATGTTTGCATCTCTTGTCATTAAAATTCTATGTTTGTTCACCTCAAACTAATTAAATAAAAATCATAATGACTATTAATTTGACCTAGAAGGCTTTATTAGCTCAATACAAAATATGCAAGTTCAGGTATTCACAACAAGCGAAATTTTTAGAGACATTTTACTAGAACTTGAAAACACCTTCCTAATGGAATTTGAAATAACAGAAAGAAACAGATTTCGGCGTAAAGAAGACATGCAATTTGGCTTTAGTTACTATTATTTCCTCATGTCTGAATCCTATAAAAGAACAGCCGCTAATATTTTTGATGAATTCGACACTGATAGTTCTAGGTAAGTGAATATGCATATCGATTTTGATTTCAACCAGTGTCTAGTTTTTTCCAGAACATGGTCGGACAGGGAAATACGAAACATCCTTACTAAAATCTACGAATTACCCCTCAGCTATGAAACAGTGGACCATTTTGAAGGGATACTACTCAATTGCAGCGAATCAGGACAATATAGTAAGGTTGAACCACCACCATTTGAGCGATACGTTGATTCGAAACTTGTAATAATAATTTAATCAAAAATAATTTTTAGAACTTAAATTATTTTGCTTTAGCCTACTATAAGCAAAGAAATGATCATGGAATGTTCAACTTTGAAGGCATTTTTGGAAAGTAAATTTCCAAATGTACCAAAATACAAGCATCATGCTGTTAAAGAAGCTGAGAAGTATTATGCTACATTTCGTATGTTGGTATCTAATGTTACAAATGTTGTTATAAAATTAGATGAAATCAGAAATAGAATGACGTAAGTATTTTATAGAGCCTTTTAGGTGCATCTGTTCAATTTGTGTGTAGAGATTAAGAGAGTAAAACTGAACTTATTGGAAAAGTAATTGTATCAGATAAAATTATTATTAGATTTCTTTTGATTAAGTAATATTGTTTTTTTTGTTTCAGAAAATTTGTATGCCTAAACGATAACCTCGACGGAACAAAACCTAACGAAAACGAACTAATCAGAGCCATCTTGTACGATTTTTATTTATCCATGTTTCCAAATCCAAGTAAATTCGAGCTTCCAGAACACGCTAGAAATAGATTTTTATACGTTAACGATTTAAACGACTGGAGAGATCGTCATTTTACCATAAAATTGATTTTATATCTGACTATAATTAGCCTAGTTTTTTTAACGTTTTTCAGTTTTTTAAGGAAAGGTTGTTGTATAGTGTTCACACAGCTGTTTTGCTAGCATTTCATGGCAGATTTAAGAAAAACTAAAGACCAATGATTAGAAAGTGTAATTTTATCTTAAATGTGAGTCTGCTTTAGAACTTTTATCATTGTTTAATTATGTACCTACCTCATATTTTCAAAGGCCATATACAAATTCATCAAAATAACATCGCAGTCATATCATATTTGTATTTTTTTATTTAAAAAACTATGTATTTGAAAATTTACAAATTATTAAAAATATAAACAATTAGCATTTTTTTAACTAAACAATATCATAAAATAAAAATATATTTAAGAGAATCTTATTCAAATAGTAATGTACTAAATAAAAATAATAAATATACATGATATGACATAAAATGGTTAGTCATCATCTTCGTCACTGTCTGGCATTTTTCTGCCCTTCTTTTTACGGACAACTCGTTTTTTGGCAGACTTTGGAGGCGGTCTCATGGGTCGAGCATCTCCATTCAATTCAAACATAGAATTAATGCATTTTTCCAATTCTGCTACAATTGGCTAAAAATTTAAAAAAAAAAAACCAATTTAATAAAATGTATTGATAAATTGTTAAATTTATTGTCAACTAGCTACTTAGAAAAGGAGGGCCCGGTATTCAACTTTATTAATTTAATTCAGGGATGGGCATAATGCAAACTTCCAAAAAAATAACTCAAATTTCAAAATTTCCGTTGTCTACAGTCTACACTACAGCCTACATAGTTGTTGTTGTTCTGTTAATGGCTTTGCTGCTAGGCAATTGTCAGCTCGATTCCTTAGTGTCCACAAGCTGCCTGGCTCGAAACCATGTCGTGATCACTCAACTGTTGAAAATTGAGCTACGATACTATATAGATTATTAATAACAAACTTCTGGTGATTTTACTGGGTACATGTAGAGCAATCAATAGAAATAACAACACACAGCACATCAAAACACGAAAACTGGAAGATCTGGAAATAGGGGAAACATAAGTTGAGCATTACAGTTTTATTTTGTTTTGATTGAGAAAGTTCATTATGATACAGCTTACAGCTTGCTGCTTTATTAATAGAAGACAGTATGGTGTAAATTGTCATGGGAGTACTGAATCCTAACTTAAGGAACTCTCTATACATATCAACGCCCTGGATAAAGTTAATAGGACATCATCAAATATAATCTGGTTCAGGTCCTCTACCTGTCCATAGTCACATAAGTGGTCATATTTTATATTGATCTTATAGAGGTGCTCTCCGGTTAAACAGTGTCCGATGCGCAATCGGATTATGGTGGTAATTAATATGTCTATGATTTTTGTAGGGGAAATCAGCATACCATTTCTTTCCCCAAAATTCTGACTGTACCTTACAGTATTGGTGATTTTTATTTTTTGCAGAAATTCTCCATTGATCTTTATACTCAGTATAGAGTTTTTGTTGAATACTATTACATATATACATCTTCAATATCCAACAACATTTGTTTTGGAACGTTTGAAATTCTGCCAATATTAGCAAGTATGTCCACTGTCTCATTTTCCTGAAAACCCGAATGTCCCGGAATCCAGGCCAGTCTGAACTCAAAACTATTTTCACTGGATGAAAGGATAAGCTTCTTTGTTCTTAGTGTCCAATAGTCTGCTACAGCATTATGGAGATTACTGTTTATTTTCTGAATAGCGGACAGAGATATCGAGAAGATAATACGATAAATGCTTTTGAATGGTCGTCCTTACTGCATCATGAATTGCTATGATTTCTGCCTTGCAGATACTAATATTATCTGGTAATCTGCAAGAAAATTTATGATATATATGTGGTATGTAAATTCCGTAACCCAACCTGTCATCTTTCTTTGAGGCATCTGAATAAATAAACCAAAAATTGTTAGAATGTTCATCCGTCACCGCAGCAAATCTAGCCCTTGTTGCTATATCATCCTTCTTTATCTTACGGTCAATAATTTTCAACGGAGACCTTAGAATTACATATTCTACCTCATAACACGGAAAATTATCACTAATATAGATTTCATTCAAGAAAGGCAAAAAATGTTACGAAGTTAAGACTTAATATTATGGTATGTTATTATTGTCATAAAAATCACGACCATTGATAAGCTGCATACGATATTCCAGCATTAATTTGACAGCCGGATGCTTTCGAATGGCCAGTAATTTCATTGTATATTTAATTGACAGCATTTTTCTCCTTTGTTCTGGTTCTACTATTGCTGCTTCAGAAAGGATTGCTAATCTAGGTGATGATCTCATGCATCCCAAACAAATTCGCAACCTTTCATAAAATATTTTGTCAATCTTATCAAAATTTTTCAGACTGCCTGTTTAATAAAAATTGCACCAAAATCCAAGAGGGATCTAACCAACGCATGAAAAGCTGTTAACATAGTACAGGGATCTGCTCCCCACCAAACTCTACAGATGGCTTTCAAAACATTCAAAGATTTTCTTGCTTTCGTTGTAATCAGCTCGATGGTTCTGAAACATCACTCCCGAATATTTAACCTGCTGTCGAAAATCAATGGATTGATTATTGAATCTAATAGGTGGAGGAATTGTTTTTCTCTGCCCTTTGTAAACCACACCGCTTCACACGTGTTTGGTGCCAGGGATAGGTTGCTTTCCCTTAGGGCCAAATTATAGACTGACTGGTAAACGTCTGGTTGTTACCTAGCAGGTACTTTCTATGCACTAGAGAATAGAAATTACCTGCTAGGTAACAACCAGACACTTACCGGTTGGTCCATAATTTGGCCCTTAGCCAGTCATCTATCTTTTCCAAAGCAAAACTTATTTCTGCATTGGAGTATTCCGTCTTTGTTACTTATATTATCATTTGCGTATCATTGAGAAAGACGGAACACTGGTTCTCCTGGGAACGCTGCTCCCCTGTTTCAAGAATAGGGACCCTGGTGGTATGTCTAGTTTTCGGAGTTTATTATACAGGGTGTCCCAGGGAAAACAGTCCACCCCCTTTACTAGATTTGGAATAAAAATCTGGAAAAACGCTCGGACACGTTGATTTTTTGATTTGAGGGGGAACTATTTTTCAGTTTTTTTCGTCCCCGTAACTTCAACCCTCTAGCTAGGGAGAGAACAACCCCCCAAATTTGAATAGGGGATAGGGTTCATGTCATACCTCTTTTTAAAGGTCTGATCGAGTTCTTTATGGCCCTAGAATTTCGTCTTATTATTTTCATCCGTAACGAAATGACAGCTTGCCAAAATCTTGGAAATAGACCATAGTGGGAGTAGGGCGCGTTCTTTTTTCCATTAGTGATTCGAAAACCTGATGCCACCAAAGCGTTCTTCTATTGATAGTGGAAATATGATGGCCCACCATACCGCGTTCTTATTTTACGGGTGAATTTATGGTGGATTATATTCGGTGGAAACCAGATGCAACCAAGTTCCAACAGAATATGTCTGTGATATACTGGTGGTTTTGCGTTGGTAGACCACATAACCTTAAAAAATTAAACTACTGCTTCTTGTGTGACCCGCGTAGTCTTTGATTTGTTATTTAGCTCATCTGTAGAGGCTATGATGAAGAACCAGAGGAAGCTGATGACGTAACTTTTCTACAATGATTTGTCATATTGAAAAAAACTGACTGCAAAAGAAATTGAGATCCTTTGAGGAGTTTTCTATTTCGCTTTGCAATTAAAGTTCTTGGCCCAGTGGCAGCTTTGCCGCATTGTCCATTTCAATTTTTTTGGACTAGAAGCACAGATTATATACCATTTATGTAGATATTTTTGACTTTGGTCCACCAAAGCGTTCTTTTATGTAAATTGTGGTGCTTCCACCAATGACATTAAAGAGTCACGTGACAGAAATCAGCTGATGCAACAGTGAATTTTTGGTGGAAAAAAAAACACGCCCGTAAAAGGGATACTTACCTCCTCCCAGTCCTCCCTTAATAAAAATACTTGAAATTGAAGTTTTTTATTATTATTATCATTTATACGGTGTATACGTGAATTGTAAATTTTAAGTAGGTATTTTTATTAAGGGAGGTAAGTAAGGCTTTTACTCATAATAAAACAATAGTCTATTTCCAAGATTTTGACAAGCTGTCATTTCGTTACGGATCTAAATAATAAAACGAAATTCTAGGGCAATGAAGAACTCGATGAGACCTTTAAAAAGAGGTATAACACGACTCCTATCCCCTATTCAAATTTGGGAGGTTTTCTCGAGATTTTCATTTAAAATCGAAAAAATCGGGATGGACTGTTTTCCCTGGGACACCCTGTATAGTTTATATATGTTTACATTGTCATATGCGGTCTTGATATCTAAAAAAAACCGCCACCGCTGTTTTTGAAGAAAGAAAAGCATCAAACATGTACCATCGTCACCAAAAGTAACTGGGACAGCATCACATTAGCTCGTGTCCTATTATATGAATTTTATTGTCAAATATTTGTCAAATTATGCATTAAATGCATAAAATGAATGACATTAGAATTAGTCCAGGAGATTATTATGCATTATTTGTGTCCCAGTTACTTTTGGTGACGATGGTACGTATGTAGATAAATAGGCTATATTGTCATAGATTTCTCTTCCCTTCCTAAAACCCAACTGATTATTTTTAAATATTTGTTTATTTTCTAGTCGCCAATCTAATCTGTTTTTAATCATAATTTCCAATATTTTACCTTCACAAGGTGAAAGTGCAATGGGTCCAAGATTCTCAACTAATGCTGGATCCCTATTTGGCTTCAAGAAGCTGATAACATTAATCTTTTTCTAGGATTGTGGGATCTTTTCTCCCATTAGGTTTTTGTCAAACAAGTTTACCTCTTTGGGGTAAATTCCTGAACATCAGGTAGGTGATGTCATCCAAGCCTGGTGCTGATCACAGAAAGGGACAAATTTTTCTCTTTTTTTCTTTATTAAATTTCTCTTTACCATGCCATTTCTCTTTTCACTGTAATGAAATTTTGAATTGAAGGATGATCATTAAATTTTTCTAGAGCACTCTTTCTGTTCTGAATCCATCCGGAACATTCTTCGTCCCACCAGGGTTTGCCAGCCCCTTTGAATATTCCACAGTTCTTATATGGAATGGATTCTTCTGCTGCCAAGTTCATCATGTTAACAATATCCTCATGCTCTATGTTGACATTTGACGTGTCAATATAAGAAGCAATCTTATCATGGTAACCTTCCCAATCAGCCTTGTCAAAGTTTCTTCTTCTAAATCCTAGATGAAAGGTTTTTCTGAAATTATTATTATCCCTCACGTTGACTTTCAATACAGTTGGATAATGATCACTATTACCACAGTCCTTTAGGATGTCCCATGTGGATTTAATTGCCAATCCACCGTTGAGAATTGCTAGGTCCACAGCACTGAGATTGCGAGTCGGATTTTGCATAAGGGTAGCGGCTCCATTATTCATTATAACAAGATCTTTATCAAATACAAATTCACTTATAATTATTCTATCCCCCTTATTAACAGGACTTCTGTCCCACATTGGATGGTGAGAATTTAGATCGCCTATCAATACGCTGTTTTGAGATTCATTGTGATTATAAAGGTTACTAAGAAGATTTTCATCTACTGCAGTATCTCTACTGGCATAAACATTTTTTTATAAAAATATCACCCACTTGAATTATGATGTATTGAACAGTTTCCGAATGAAAAGCTTAAATTGTATATATTTTTTTTTGGTGCAGGTAACCACACCAGCGTACCCATCATCTCTATCTTGCCTAATTATGTAATAGGACTTCAATATAAATTTTCGTGAGGGGGGTATTATCAGGGTTTTTTTTAAATATTAGATTGTTGAGATTTTCTTGATAGGATTGAATGCTCCTGATGTTACATTGAATAATTTTAATATTGGACCCAAGTTTTCTTTGTTGATCGGAAATAATTATGGGGGATAAGATACTAAAAACAGACGTTTGCTGTCAGTCTTCTGCATCACGATCATACTCCATGTATGACCTGTGACCCTGATCCGACCGCAATGGACCTCTTAAAACATTTGTTTGCTCTACAGAAGCGTGTTTTATAAAATTAATAATAATGTCTAAATTAACATTTTCCAATTTACGAATAGATAACGATGAACTAATAGGCTGTAAATTTATTGAATCATTCGACGATGTTTGTTTTTGTTGTAAAAAATGAGCTGTAGGGCGTGTATTTTGAATTCTTCCATTAGGGTTGTATACATTTTTTTCATGTGTCTTTGTCTTTCTATCATAACTTTTTTGAATTATCCTTTTTTTTGTTGGATTACTAGATATCACTTGTTGAAAAGAACGTTTGATGGGATTATCTTTAAAAGAAGAACTCCTTCTTTCTGAGGGTACAAAGGTTAAATCGGAGCTGCGTTGTGAGTAATGTAATATTAGTAACATTTTGAACTGGGGAAAAGTCTTCCTGGTTGAGAACAAAATTACCTCTGGGAATATAGGTTCTTTTGCAGCTCTCGCTTGCGTCAAAAAAGGTTAAATTTTCAAACGCCATTAACTCTTTAATATTCTTCTGCCTGGTGTGTTCTGGACAAATTTTGGATGTAGATTTATGCGATTCTTTGCAAAAAAAACATGTCATATTGCATGTGAATTCTTCATTCTCATTTAAATGTTTTGGTTCACCACAATTAAAGCAGCGTTCCTTCCCCTTACAGTTAACTTTTGTGTGACCATATCGAAGGCACCGATAACACTGTGTAACCGGCGGCACATATACAGAAATATTGAATGAAAGAATATAAAAATGTACTGCTCTTGGTAGCCTAACTCCCTTAAAAGTAAAAAGAACTGTTCCAGTGGGTTCATGAGAAACCACTTTATCAGTAATGACTTTTCTATTTATTAAGTCTTTTGACGCTCAGAATTTCTATATTTCCATCCATATTACTACATTCCAAAAGTTCTTGTTGTGTAATATCAAAATCAACCTGTCTAGCAATTCCTTTGGACGTAAGAAAATTGAAAGGTATAAATATGTATGTAGGTACATATTTTATATCCTTTTTTCAAGAGAGTTTGATTTTTAACAAACAAATTTCTTGCACTATATCTATATGATGAAAATTCTACTGAAATTCTATTTAGGCCTTTGTTATTAAATTTTTTAATGTCAGCAAGTTTGAGATTAAAAATATCTCTAGCAATTTTGATGTTGTTTACTCTACCAAGGTTAAAACCCACTTTTTCTGTAGATTCCAAATAAACAATGTATAGGCCTTTATCAATAGCCGAATATACAATGGTTGATTTAATTGTATTATCTTTTTCGACATCACTAATTTTTTCTAAATTTTTAATAGTTTCTTGGGACAAACCCTCGTTTCTGGGGTGGGTCACACCCCCTAATTCATCCATAATTAAAATTCAATATCCCTCGACCATTCAATAACCACGAGTTGAATTCTTTCAAGCAAAAAAAAAAAACAATGGTGAAAACGTGAGTTTCTCTAAAAATGCTCAACTTACCTAAGCTCTGGACTTAAACGAAAACAATACACAGGTTAGTAGGTAGAAATTCGCTGCGACTTAGCTAAAACACGGACAAGTAGCAAAACGATGTTATTCGTATCAAGTTGCAAACCGAAGTGGTCTACATAGTTTACATAGTCTACATGGGAAAAAGTGGATATACACAATACGTAGATAACGATAGACAAACCGCGTGAAGTAGATTTCATAGTCTATGGCACATCCCTGATCCTGGAGAATTTATGTAATAACTTGCAAATATACATCTTTTTATATAAAAACTGAGAAAATTTTGTCTCCATCTATCCACCCTACACCCCCCGCCACAGAAGTTGTGACATTATAATAAAATTAGTATTATAGTAAGCAGCTATAACTGATACAATAATTGCTATTGGTTAACTTAATGGGATATTATTTGAATTATTAGATTCAAAACATTTTGCAAACAATTACCTACAAATACAAAAGTCTCTTTTTTACCTTCAGATCTGTTTTTCCAACTTGCTGCTTGGTACAACTCTGCATAATATTTTTAAGAATGCCATAAATCTCCGGATCGTGCACCAAATTTTTATACAAATCGAACTTTTCCAGCAATTTCCGCAGCGCTCTATCGTTGTAAACTACAAACGATAAGCAGTTGGCAATGTGTCTGTGGTGACGTATGTTTTCAGTGGCTCCGAATTTTGCAGAGAATCTTTCCACCAGATTTTCCATGTGCTTCGATTTGTCCATCAACTCGAAGAGGAATCTGGAATTAAAAATGTTATGTATTTTACTTAAAAAAAAAAAACAAATCCTACTTCATAATATATTTGACTTGGTCATCTGTGATTTCTTGTGATTCCATTAAATAGGAAAATATATCAGGTAAAACATGGTATAGATTGTCTTCTTTTTGAGCCAAAGTTTGGAAGAATTTTCGACACATGCTGCTCAGCTCTTCATCAGTATCTATTAAACTATTAACCATTAGATGAATGGAGGAATGGGCTCTTATCATGTCCCGAAGGATTAGACCTGATAGTGTAAAGAAGGTGGCCTTACGGATTTCGATCGATGGATCCATCAACCTAAAAAGATCTCTCACATACAGGCCCTACTTTAGCAACGTTTTATAACACTACCTTTCAAAAATATGTGACGTCCAAGGCTCAATGATATTGGGGAACTTCGTTAACAAGTCTGACAAATGAACTAATATAGAAACTTTAATGTCGGAATGTTTGGTTTTTTGAAATATTGTAAATAATAATTGGATATTATTTACGCAAAACTCACTCGATACCAACATGTATCTGAAACGATAAATTAATTAGTAACAATTCACAAGGTACTTGATTTGCAGAAATCAATTCCTACCTGATAAGAGCGGTAACTGCTGCCCCTTGCAAACAAACCTCGGGAAAAATTTCCGGTTTTTCACAAATGTTAATGATAACTGGAGCTAACTGTGCTAATAAACCAGAATTTGTGACCGTGTCTCGTTCCAAAACGCGTAGAATAAACTCGGCATCTTCATCTTCAGCTTGAGCACCTTCCAAAATACTCTCTTCATGCTAAAAAAAAAACAATTTATTTATGTATTCGATATTGTTTCTAGTACTTACATTAGCTGCATCAGTTACACTAGATGCATTGGTAAGTGTACTCTGATTATTTTTTGAAGCATTTTGTTTCTTCTTGTTTTTCTTTTTGCTTTTACCCTTATCTGTTTCCTGCTGCTCTTTCTTGTTGTTACGGATATAGTCTCTTCTTTTCAGTTCTTTATACACAGTCTCATCTAGATAGTCCAAATGTTGAACAGCCACTATACCCATTAATTGACATAAGTGCATCAGTACATAACCAGGAATCATATCTTTTTTTGATAACTTTTCAACAACCTCTTTGATAAATTGTCCACAAAGTTGATCCGGTTGACCGCTTACCTAAAATATATTACTTAGTCCCCGAGATCAATTGAGTATGTAATTTACCTTATAAACAAATTCAATAGCTTTAGACAAAGCATGGTGATAAAACTCAACTGGTTTGAAAAAATTGTTTGATAATATGGCAAATAATTCCTTAAAAATTGTATCATCCGATGCAATTTTAAATGGAGGATTCTCTGAAGTAGTATTGATTCGGTTTCTGCCTATTAAAGCAAGGAAAGCGCAACAGCTACCCAAAAATCCCATATTTCTTTGGCCAAACTCATCAAATGCTAGAAAAAAAAACTTGGGAATGTGAAATCTGATTTTGTATATGTGAAGTTTTTCATTTTAATAGGATCTTGAAAATCAGAAGAATTCTAATTTGGGGTGAGGTTTTTTTAAGAATAAAAATCATTTTTGCTCTCCGCAAAATATTGGGAGATTTATTATTTTAGGATTTTGCCTCAACACACATAATCCTGTGACACTTACCAATAGAAGTAACCAATTTGACATTCCTTTCAATAATTGTTCTTCTTTTTATAGCGCACATAGTTAACAATTCAACACTAGCGTGACATTGTTCGTCAGTTACCGAGATCTTTCTAGTGAAATATTGCCACAGCATATCAATGACGTTATTGCATATAGCACCTGCGATAAAATGGATTTTAAACAATACTACAAAGCTAAAAAAGACATTTTACCATCTTCGACCATATGAGTAACGATCGATTCCAAATTATCCATGTTGACACTATCCACTTTTTTCAATAGGCCTATAAGCCTGTTCACAATTGTTGAGGCGTGTTCTCTAGAATAATGGAATATTATTGCATTATTTTTTAAATATAATTCAAACTACATATTGAGTAGAGATGATTATTATCGAGTGTTTTTTCTTTCTAAAAGAAATTCTAAAGCACATCTACTAGCTGTTCTAAATTAATTGAAAAAGAATTTGGAATAGACCTATCTATTTTTACCTGTTATGCGCGCGCAACACGAGGCAATTTCTTTTTATTGGCTAGCCAATACAGGTGTGAGGTGATCGTTTTGCACGCTGGACATCTCTTTGTCCTTGTTCATTGCACGTGGTCTGACAAGAATAAATCTAAAGTTGATATTCAACTTGACAAATGTCATTCAAAAGTTGTTTGACATTTTCATTGACAAATACGTTGCACAACACGCAGTTTTTCTTCTTCCCTTTTTATCCCGTGCAAATAAGAAGGACGGATTTCTATACGTAAGCTAACATAATTTGGTACATTTTGCCTCGTCTTGCGCAATGAACGTTCTGTGTCTTTTTTTATTTAATGAAGTTTTCGTATTATTACCTCTTTGTCTGGTAAAATAGATAGGTCTATTGTCTGTAAAAATACCTGTTGATAGAAATAATGCCACCCCTTGAACCAAATATCAGCATATATGGTATATTTGAAATCAGAAGAAAAAATCCATCAATCTACCAAAAAATATACAGGGTGTTTCATTTAAAAAAATGCAAGTGCTGTCATTATGACAGTTGGCACCTGCCATTTGCCCATTTTGACAAGTGCAAAAGATAATAGAGATAAAACCCTACAACTTTTGTATTTAACTTTTTTTTGTATTTTTTTTTGTTCAAGCTGTAGGAGCAGCGCTAATTATAAGGAACAGACCCTGTACATAAAAGTATCAACTATCAAATGCGAAAAAAAATTTATATCCTACTGAACTATTATAACCATATAATACCTTGGTTACGATAATCATAAACAGGGCCTTAACTCTCAAGGGAGTTAAGGATTTTCATAACTCCCGCGCGGGAGTTAAGGATATCATAACTCCTAAGCAAGTTAAGGATTTCCATAACTCCCGCTTTAACCTTGAATAGGTAAAACTTTGTAAATTTTATAAAAATAGACAAAATACAGTAAATTCAGTAGGATATAAAATTATCTATGTACCACGGGAATTATCAGGTATTAATACCCACGGGCAATTGGTGTCCCTTGGGCCAGAGGCCCTCGGGACACAAACGTTGCCCTGGAGTATTAACACCTTCATAATTCCCTTGATACATAAATAACTATAATAAACTGTTGATAATAAATGACTTTGAATGTGCTTCAATTGAGTGCATGGTGAACTCTGTACAGGCCGCCTAGTGGTAATGTAAATAATTTCTTAAACCAGTTTGAAAAAACGTTAAATAGTCTAGTGGGGGAAAATAAGAAAATTGTAATTGCTGGCGACTTCAACATAGACATGCTAAAAAAAAGCAACAATACAGACAATTTCATTTCATTACTACAATCCTTTAGTCTGAACCAAACAATTTTTGCAAATACGAGAATCACACAGACTCCAATATAATGTATTGATAACATTTTTGTAAATTATGAGTATGTGGACGGATACTCATATGTCTGATCACAATGCACAGGAATTAACTTTTTACATTGAAAAACCTCAAAATAATATTTCAAAGCACAAACGGTTCTTTACAGAATTTGATAAAAAAAAACTTTTCAAAACTATTGGAGGAACAGGATTGGTTGGAAATATGTGAAATAGAGAAGAGCAACGTCAACCAGCAATGGTCTATATGTCTAACTGTTTCCCTCTAATATCATATAATCAAAATCGTAGGCACAAAGTTGAAGTGCAAATTGAATTTTATCTAGAGGTAATAATGATTTTAAAGAACCATATAATATTTTAAAAAGAAAATATGATGCATTACTGATAGAGGCCAGGTCAGAGGCATATGAAAGGAAATTGTGTTTGTCTGACAATAAAACAAAATGTATGTGGTCAATATACCGAGAGGTGTCAGGCAATAATGAGAAGAATGGGGATATAAGCGATATAAGCATAGGATATAAGTATTAAAGGCGACCCGGAAAAAGTAGCAAATGAATATAACAATTTTCTGGTATCAGTAATCTTAGACATGTTGAAAAATGTTGATACTGACATATTAGACTGCAAAATACCGGAGAACAGTTAGTCAATGCTTTTGGATCCAATATCTGCAGATGAGTTATGTAAATTTTCTAGAAAATATAAAAATAAACTAGCAGCGAGATAGACCTCGTAAACGAGATACCAACTAGTATTGTTAGAGTAGCAATTCCAATTATAAAAGAAACACTGTCTTTTATTATAAATAATTCTCTCAGGTATGGTACTTTTCCAGATAAACTCAAGGTAGCGCTCATAATACCTTTATTAAAAAAAGATCATCCTCAATTGTATGAAAATTACAGACCTATAAGTTTGCTACCTGGAGTGCTTAAAATGCGTCACTGAACTCACTGGCAAGCGACTATGATATCGGATTAAAAAAAAAAAAATTAAATAGAAAATCAACAACAAAATTTGAAAAGAAGTGTATTATTTCAAAATGTATTTACATGCTGGCAACGCAGCGGGTCATTAGCTAGTTTATTATACAAGACGGTAAAAAGAAGCTTTACCTGTGAGTGGAAAATGTTGATTCACGAGCGAAGAAGGAGCGAGTGGATTAATTTCACGATTTGGACAAGTGGGTAAAATTGACGTATCAGTGGGTAAAATTGACAAATGAGTAGGTAAAAATTTTTCGATTTCACTACTTCAAATAAAGTGTTACTTTGACAACGAGTTTTGAGTCGATTAAGTGATAGTTTACCATTAGCGATAGAATAAAATAACTTTATTCTATCGCGAATGGTAAACTATCATTTAATCGACTCAAAACTCGTTGTTAAAGTAACACTTTATTTGAAGTAGTGAAATCGAACAATTTTTACCCACTCATTTGTCAATTTTACCCACTCATACGTCAATTTTACCCACTTGTTCAAATCTTTTATAATAATTATAGTGTTTTTGACAGAAATCTGTTATGTTGCATGATTGACAACACCAGAAATGTGTCAGTTTGTTAGGTACTTTGTCAACTTGTCATAATCTATGTAAAATTTTAGCACATTTTAGCTTATGATTTTAGTAATTGTGATAAATAAAGTTGCTCAAGAATAAAATAGAATATTACACACGATGGTAAAAAAGCTTTACCTGTTCGTGGAATTAATCCACTCGCTCCTTCGTCGCTCGTGAATCAACATTTTCCTCTCACAGGTAAAGCATCTTTTTACCGTCTTGTATAATAAATAACTATTGTTTTGGTTGACTACATGTTTATGGGCCAGGGGGGGTGAGCTGTGAAAGCGGCTAGGAGCTAGGAGTAGGGTATCAAATGCTTCCGCTAACTCCGCCTCCACTTTACTATCGCATATTTGGCAACTCTGAAAATGAAACCAGAATCAGTGCTACAAAAGTGTAACCTTATCCTTATATTTCACATGATTTTAGAAAAAGATGCGGATACACTCAGTGCGCACTGATTGACAAATGGAAGTTGCCAGAAAATACAGGCAGGTCGCATTTTTGACATGACAATTGAATAGAAGCCGCTGATTGGAGGAAAGGTGGAATTTATTTTTTTGCAGTGTTGCTAATTTTTATTGAAAAAAATCGCTTTCCACGTGTTAGAGAAAGATACAAAATAACACAAGGATTAATAAGTAGTGGGGAGATATGCGGTTCCTGGGATGTAGTCAACCTATATTATTGTTTACAGTTCCGTCTATCTGTGTTAGTAGGTCATTGGACAAAACTGGAAAGGTACGGTATCAGAGGAAATGCATTGAATCTTTTCAAATCATAGGTAAAATTCAGAGAGTTAAGATCGTGAAAAAAGGACGAACATATTTCTCAAACCGGACCCATTTTGTTTGTAATATTTTTAAATGACCTGTATCCATAGCAAATCACCCAAAGGAGCACATGTTATGCAGATGATACCAATCTAAGTCATCTTTGTTTGGTAGGGCTAAGAGCTGGTTTTCTGAAAATAAATTGTTGTTGAATAAAAATGAAACGAACATCTTGTTCCTTGGAACAAAGCAATGCAATATTGATAAGCCACTAAAAGTGAATATTGGAGAAACAGAGATTGAATTAGTGACAGACAAAAATTTTTTAGGAATTCATTTGGACGAGTTTTTGGATTGGACCGCACATATACAGCGATTAATAAAAAAACTTAACTTCATTTGTTATGGAATTAGGGTTGTGGGAAGATAAATGAACGGGAGCATTCTAAGAAGGATTTAGTATGCAATTTTTGAATCCATTTTGAGGTATGGCTAATGTTTTGGGGTACTAACAGCGGTACACTAAAGGTTTTTGTAATACAGAAGAGTCTTGAGAATTACAAAAATGGGACTTATTGAAAGCTGTAGGGGTGCATTCAAATCTTTCGGGATTTTAACTGTTTATGGACTATACATCTATGAATGTTTCATGTTTTTCTTCAATAATAGGACTCCTCTTGAAAACGAGATTGGGCATCAATACAATACTAGAACATATAATGTAAATTACCATATTCATAGACTTTCCCTAACTGAAAAGAACCCGAGTTACATGTGTTTAAGGTTATTTAATAATTTGCCTAATGATATTGAAAGTATAAAGAGCCGTAAATTGTTCAAGATGAAAACAAAAGCATTTTTAATTAATTTGGAACCCTACTGTATGGGTGATTATTTTGGAGAGGTATAGACAGGTTGCATGAATTTTAGAATTTAGTTGCATGAATTTAGAGAATTCCTTATTTTTCTTTGGGATTTCTCTGTTTACGCCATTTCTTTTTATCTACACGTCTGGCAAGTAAACATCTTACATGCCAATTTCAATGCGATAGAATGAAATGTTTAGAAAAAGTCTAAGGTTGAATAGAGAGCGAAAATGATTTTCCCTGTTCCACCTCCAGTAAAAAGCGCTGAGAATGCTAGAGATAGAACAGGGAAAATCGTTTTCGCTCTCTATTCAACCTTAGACTTTCTCTAGACATTTCATTCTATCCCATTAAAATTGGCATGCAAGATGTTCACTTGCCAGCCGTGTACCTATGTATGTTTTTATGTACCACGTACAGGAAATTTATCTTTTTATATGACTTGAAATAAAGAATTTATTAGTATTATTATTATTATTATTATATTATTATACCGATTTTGCTAAAGCCTTCGACTGTTTTAACCACAACGTCCTATTTGTGAGTCTTGAGAGAATTGGAATTTCTGGTACTCTGCTTGCGTGAATCAGCGATTACCTTAGGAACAGAACCCAAACAGTCAAGATCATCAACTTCCGCTCACAGCCCATTGACAAATGACATTCCTTCAGGTGTACCACAAGGATCTCACCCGGGACCCCTGCTATTCAATATTTTCATCAACGATATTGGTTCTTGTTTCATTAATAGTGAGTTTCTGTGTTTTGCCGATGACAAATATATTCGCCCGAGTCTCCTCCCACGAAGACTGTGCCAGACTACGATCTGACTTGGATAGACTTTCCGAATGGTGTGTCACAAGTGGCATGGAACTAACTCAATGTCTCTGAATGTAAAGCTATCGTTTTCTCCAAAAGTCAAAGCCCCATACAATTTGTTTACCACATAAGCAATGAACCACTGGAAACAGTGTCCCAACAACGTGATATCGGTGTCATTTTCTGATAACACATTGAGCTTCTCCAGCCACATTTCGGATATCGCTACCAGGTCTTTGAAACTGCTGGGCTTTATGAAGAGGTGCTCAAGGGACTTCACTAACATCTCTTCCATCAGGCTTCTCTACTGCACAATGATAAGGCTCATCCTGGAGTACTGCTCCTCGGTTTGGTCACCTATGTATTCTGTCCACATCAACGCCTTGGAGCAGGTGCAGCATACATTTGTACGGTACTTAGTCTTCAAGGCAGGTATTCCTCCTCCCGAAAATAATATCTACAACTATGATGACCTCTACCGACGCTTCAACCTGCAACCCTTAGCTGCCAGACGAAATTAAAGGGATTTATAACATTTGTCAAAGTACTAAACTCTCCACAACGATTCCATATACCTACTATCCAGAATTGGACTTTATGCCCCAGCAAGAACCACACGCTCTTCCACTACCTTCTCAGAAAAGATCCACCGGACTAACTATGGTTCGAACACTTTTATCTCCATAGCTTCCCGAATCTCTAATGAGTTCAATACCCTGGACTTTTTCAGTATTCGTGAAGACTTTGAAGAGAAGTTAAGCTCTCTTGAGCTCTCGACGTGTTGGGGTGTAAAAGTTGGCGACGTTGCTATGACCGATTATTAAATTGAAATTAGCTCCGACTCAAACATCGAAGATGAACATGGAAGCAATCCTATAAATATTGCACTGAAATCGAAACAATGGCATTTAATTAAATATTCAACTTTTTGCCTTGTTGATGTACCTAAATAAGGCAGATTTCAACCAAACAACCCCATTGGAACGACCTGTTAAATCCAACCAATGGGACATTGTTGAATATTTAATATAAGATGGAGCTTCATTGCCAAATAATTTAATCAATCCTATAGAGTGCAGCTGAAGCTGAACAATGGGATTTAATTAAGTTAATTGAGAATGTGAGAGAAATTAATGAAGATTTTATTACACGTGCACTGACATTTACAGTTACTCAAAAGAGTAATTAAAATATCCCATGGGAACAAATATAATTTTGTGTTAATAATATTCAAATGTTCTTATTAACATGAGTTTTTTTTCTAAGCTGGCAGATTTAGGAACAGATTATAATAGACTACACGAATTATCTAGACCGAAATACTATAAGCCACAACATCAACAGATAAATTCTAATGTGACTTGTTTAATAATAAATTTGATAATTTTTATTTCTGTTTCAATATTTTTCTTAGGTAAATATTATGAAAAATAACACATAATAAAAGAGTGACAGTAGTTGCACTCATCATCCAAAAACTCAAATACTTACGCAGTAGTTGAAGAGCTTGTGTTTAAATATATATCTTTAAAAGCTTTAACAATCATATCTTTACGGTCTTGCTCGTTTCTCTGCATCATTTTTAGCATCGCTGAAAAAAAATCCTTATGTTATGCAACATATGGTTCACAGCCTTACATTAAACTTTGTGTGTCAAGTTTATGTAAAACTTACCCATTATTCCCTGTGCAGAATTATCAATGTTGAATCGATAGGCGGTAACGAAAAATGCAACGGCTTCTTGCATATCTGTGATACTAGTAGTTTCAAGCAGTTCTGTCATCACTTCGATTGCGTCATCAATTAGTTTTCCAAAGTTAACGCATTCTGTTAGAAAATCTTTATTTTTCTGGAAAAATCACATAAACTATTCAATTTTTTATACAGTTTAAGCTTTCCAAAAATTTAATGTTTCTGAGTAAATCAATCAGCAATAAAAATGAGTGAGCATTTATTTGACCCGTACCTCCAACTGTTCAAATTTTTCGAAATCAGCTTGAGTTAAGATAAAATCTCCACTAGTAAGACCTCGACTGCGAATTTCATCTAAGCTCAATCCAAAGAAAATATTCTTTATGTGTGCCATGAATTTGTCCACCATTTCCATACTGAAAAAAAAAAAACATTGCAGCAGTGAAAATCTACAAACTCTAACAAAGGCAAAGGAATCCAGGTCTGAGTAAAATAATTTGCCATTGTTAAATAATAAGCTGAAAGTCAACTATTTATCTAAATCAAAGCAAAAGTACATACTCTTCATCGTCTTTTTCATTATTCTCATCATCAAAGTTTGTAGTTTTTTTCAAAAGCTGAAATGCATCCTTATATTTACGTTCAGCCAAATACATACGGATCAATTCTGTATTATTTGCTTGTTGTTGTGCATTTTGGTTGCCTTCATTATCATTTTGGTTATCTTCTTCATCTGAAATCGAAAAAATTACATAATATTATGCAGTATTTTTTAAGCAACAATGTTATTTTAAAAATTTACCGTTTTCATTTAGTGCTTCCAAAGCAAGTCTCCTTAAGTCAGGCTCAACTTCCTTCCAGTTAGCTTCCACCTCCTGAGCTTTCAACAATTTAGCCTCATCTACCTTCGGCTGTAACTTTTCCAACTCTTGCCTGTTGCTTTCCAAATCTGCCATCTTCCGACTCAAACACAACTAGAACAATTTTATAAATCAAATAAATCATATTAAAAAATTTATTGACTTACATCTGAGCCACATAGATTGTAGGATAGAAAATCCGTCACACAGTGTGCTGCGTTTTTTCTCACCAAAGCCGATTTGTCGTGCAACATGTATTTGACAATGTCCTCGAGCAGCTCGTTGATCAAATATTTTGGTATCGCGCTTTCTTTTAGCAACCTGGACCAATGTTGCATGACTCGAGACCTGACATGAGCTGATGTGTCCCACATATGTTGTTTTAGAATGGTCATGAATACGTCCAGGCATTCCTGCTGGTTTGTGTCAAGTACGCGTCCAGATAACACGTTGATGATGATTTCGGTGATTACATTTAATACGGAATTTCTCAATGGAACCGACTAAATAAAAATAAAGTGTCAGTGAATCAGTGGAGGAATATTTCATATAATCTTTTAAGCAGCGTTTTCCTAGCAACGCACATTTTACGCGACGTAGAACGTAATACGGCCGACGCAACGCAACAGCTAATGCGCTGCGTAAAAGTGTTTTCCTAGGATTGTCAGTTGCGTCCTGATCGTCGCGATGAGTATATCAATAAAGAAATTACTGGAGAAATTAGCTTTGGCTTTATTCGAGGCTTTATTATTATGTCTGCTTCTGCAGAAATCACAAACCAGTCAGAGCGAATTTCATTGGTTGAAAAGAATCAGAAACAGTCAGAAAACTAGTTTCAACCAATGAAATTCACTCTGACTGGTTTATTATTTCTGCAGAAACAGCCCTATTATTACAAGATGAAAATTTGCAAGAAGAGATTGATATAATAGTTACGATTTATGATAGGACTAGAAATTCTGCTAGTCAATTATTTCAAAAAAGAAGAAGCGAAGGAGCATTTAGAGATACTTATCCATAAACATCTCGACGACGAAGTAAAATTTGAAAAGCATATTTTATAGTTACAAGGCAGCAAATCTCATTTCTCCTCAATCTTGTGAGAAAAGATTTAAGTAAGGAATCATGGTAATCGCGTGCGACATCCTATTTCGCCACCTGAAAAGCTTGGCCTAACATTGAGGTATGTAAATATAATACAACAGGAGCATTTTCTTTGCCAACACGCAGCGTACAAGTGAATAGACTGCTCTCCGAGCAGTCGTTCAGTTGCGTCGACCGTATTGCGCTAGCGCAAGTCGTTTTTACGCGGTGTAGGAAAACACCTCCATTTGATTTTCATTAGACATGTCCTCAGCGTTTTACGCCGACCGAATTACGTTCTACGCCGCGTAAAATGTGTGTTGCTATGAAAACGCCGCTTTAAGGTTTAAAGTCAGGCCTATTGTTTATTGCAGCAACGCGAGATGTCAGTACTGTCGCCCTTATAGGTAGTGTGCCCTAATTTGATAGTAAAAAAAAATAGATATCTGCATTTGGTTAAATTGTGTGATGGAAAGTTTTTTCTTTTTTTGCGGAAATTCGAAGTATTATTCTGTTTTACATAAACAGGGTTGTAGTTTGGACCAACACAAATAATTTTGAACGTTCATCCGTCGGATTTATTTTTAAACAGTGTAGCTACAGGCGTATTTCCAACTATTCTTGCAATTGCGAGAAAACTACAAGTTCAAAAAATTTGAAAAAAATATATGTCGCGTAGAATTGCAATAGTAGTTCGTAATAAAAATAACGGGAAACTTCATCTTTTCGTTTTGAAATAAATGGTGAAAAACCACTTTTTTTCAGTTTTTGCGATATAACTCAAAAATGGCAAGTCAAATTTGCTTAAAAAAATTATGGATTAAAGTATATCAATAACCATAAAACATATATTTTTTTTTGGAATTTTTGAACACAAGGTTCAGAAAATGGGGGTTGACTTTAAACCTTAACACATGAATTTTCTAAAAAAATCGAACTAATCTACCCTATGAATAAAAAAGAGCATTTGCTTTTTCTCGCAAATCTGAAGCAAATGCTTCATCCAGTATGAATAAAAGTTCAAGCAAAACCTTATTCTTAAAAGTCGGGAGCAAATGCTCCAGGAAAAAAGCAAATACTCTTTTTCTTATGAATAAAAGAGAGTATTTGCTACAAATTGAGAGCATTTACTCCTTGCAAAATGCATCTGCTCCAGAGCAGATGTATGTTCACTATCTTGGTGAATTATTTTCGAATATTCTTATTTCCCGGTTTTTTGTAGATTGTAGATTGCATTAGGAGTTGTTACAGCTTGTTCCAGCAGCTCTAGTGTCCAAGATTTGTAGGCTCCTCCAAAAGGAGGCCAGCTTCCTGGGTGGTAAAGTGCCCACCTCTTGGGATGATAGCCAGCTATTTCAGCCTTTTGTAGAAGTGACCAGGGCATTAACAGATTAAGTGTTCTTTGATTTTTGTTACTTGTACGCAAGATCTGCAGTGATCGTTGCCTGATTTGCCTATTGTTTTTAGATGACTTCACCAGGCAATGCCCAGAGAGCAGTCGACCAACGACTCTTTTCTAATGTCTCCTTTGTTCACCGTCAAGAAGTTGTTCAGATCTCAGATATGAACCTTCTTCATCTGTTGATTTCTTTGGAGACGTGGCTTTTCATTTGTACACAAAAAGACTCTGGGCCTTGAAAAGGTGTTGAAGCGCCTTGCTTCGTGAAACGGTCCGCCTCCTCGTTGCCCTCTTTACTTTATTCCTACCAGCCAGTTGTTAAAGGATATTTTCACCCTACCAAACTAGCTGAAAATTGCATTTAATTGCTCCTAGAGCCTTTAGAGCCGCTTGACTGTCGGACAGTATGTAAATTTGCTCTCTTAAAAGGCCTCTTTCAAGACAATCTTGGGCACAGATGTTTATAACCAGAACTTAAGTTTGAAATTTTGTGGACGTTTTACCCATTGCTAATGAGAGGTTAAACTTTAAAGTTTGGTCCAGTTATTCCCAGACCGACTCCTTCCGTAAGCTTCGAACCATCTGTGTACCACAATGATGCGTTGTCCGCTTGCGGCAGCTTTGCGTTCTTCCATGATTGGCGTTCTTTTACAACCATTTTCTATGGAATGTCAAAGTCCATTGATGTTATCGATCTGGGTGGTTTACTTTGGCATTCAAGCCTAGATTCAAGCAACAGGTACAACAGGTAATATTTTTTACTTCATTTCTTTGAAGCATATGCTCGCTAGTAAAAGGTCTTCATTATTCATATGATATGAAGTAAATACTTCTATTTTTACCTTTTACATGAAACTTTTGCTTATATGTCTACCCTTTGCTTAGAAGCAAATGCTCTATTTTTATTCAAACTGCTGATTGATTGTATAAAATATTATATTTACATATAAGAGGCAACTAGACAGCAAACTATTGAACCCTGAAGAATGAACCTTCAATAAACTCATGGAGATTTATATCAAATGACAAAAACCCAAGAAAAGACAGAGCCATCCAGCATAAAACCAGAGCAATGGATAGACACAACAAGAGTACAATTTAAAAAAAAAAATAGACCGAAATATATATTAAATTCTCCAAGACATATTGAAGTACATGGAAAAGAAGTTGAGATATCTGAAGAAACAGCAAAAAAGGTCGATAAGAATCTCGTCAGGTAAAGCTAGCGGTCCAGAAGGGATAAACGCCGAAATGCTGGAATGGGGAACTGAGAAGCTCTTTAAAGGTATCATTGTATCTATATATATAAAAATCAAAGTTCACGGGGTATCCGGATATGCGCTCCAAAACCACTTATCCGATTACGATGAAACTTTGCTAGGTTGTTATGGCCATCCCAAGGAAGGTTTGTGGATAGGTTACGCATCTCGGAAAAAGAAATTAATTTTGAATTAATTATTAATTTAATTGTAAACAAACTCATTCACATTACATAACAACATAACCCAACTTTTTTTGACAGCATGAAACAACGTTGCCATATTTCATTTATTTAGGCTTGCATTCAACCGACGTAACTTTATTATTTTTTGAATTCAAGAACGGCTGGACCGATCTTGAATTAATACCACGTATCTCTATATAAGGTGAATTCGATTGACCCAGATTAGATCGATTTGGGTTCAATTTAAGTGAACTTCTTCTGATCTAGATCATTTTTTTGTTGATGAGGGTGCACTGATCCAGCTTGAATCGAACACAGTGTGGTTCACTTAAATTGAACCAGATCGATCTAATCCGGTCAATCGAATCGGCTATAGAGGAGAGTGATATATTCTATTTTTTATCCCGAAAAAAAAGTTCGGTTGCGTAAAACTCTGATACACTGGAACGCCTATAAACAGCCCGGGGCGCTCTACAGCAGCTCTGGAGTGCTTAAAATGCGTCACTGAACTCACTGGCAAGCGACTATGATATCGGATTTAAAAAAAAAATAAATAAATAGAAAATCAACAACAAAATTTGAAAAGAAGTGTATTATTTCAAAATGTATTTACATGCTGGCAACGCAGCGGGTCATTAGCTAGTTATCAATAAATGTCACAAGACTGAAAAACGGCTTTTACATAATCCATTCACAAAAACGGAAATAAGCTGGACTACAATAACTATCGGAGTATATCAGACACAAACACACTAAGCAGACTATATGGTGGAATCCTGCGTGATATCATTGAACATTGAATAAGGAGAAAGATCAGTGCAGCTTTAGAGCAGGAAGATCAGGTACAGACAACGTATTTTGGAAGCAAGTCATAGAAAAGAGATCTGTTGACATTCGAAAACCTACCTCACATTTGTGGACCTACAAAAGCATACGATACATTCCCAGTATCCAGACTATGGAAGGTATTAGAACAATCCAACATCAATCACACCTATATAAGAGCCTTTGAAGACTATATAAAGAACCAAAATCAAGAATTAAGATAGGTAAAAAACTCACAGACACATTTATAGTGAAAGGACTACAACAAGGATGTTGTATCTCTCCTCCGCTTTTCAAAACATTGGAAGAGGAAGATCCATGGTACGGGTATGGAGATAAATGATTGGAGCGCCTGTTTCCTCTTCAGTTTGCAGATGACCAGGATCAGGTCATAGTGGCCAGTGACAAAGAGGACATGCAATATATGATTAGAAAGCTGATAGAAGACTACCAAGATGAGGTCTGACAGTTAATATAAAATAAAACAAAATATCTATATGCAGGCCCCCAGAATGGATACTTGGAAGTGGGCAATGGTCAGGAAATTTCGCAATGTCAGGAATATGAGTCTCTAGGTATCACATTTGACAATGCCGGAAAAGATGTGTGGAGCAAGGAAATAACAAAGAACAGAAAATTCTTTATATATAAGACAATGATAAAGAGCAGCCTTCCATATGGAGCCGAGACTTGAAGAATTACAGACAGATGAAAGTAAGTAAAGCAAAAATTGATGCGATTAGAAGATCCGTGCGAATCTCATGAAGAGAGAGGGAGAGGATAAAGAACGGCCATATAAAACAACAAATGAGAATAGAAGGCTCAATAGTTCAGGACATTAAATGAAACAACTTACCTGGTACGGACAAGTGGAGTGAATGCCAAATACCAGGTGGCCCAAAAACATGCTGCATTGGCAACCAACGGGTAGAAGAAAACGAGAAAGATCAAAACTGGAATGGCAGAAGATCATTACAAAAAGTCCATGAGTGAAAACTCAATCACTAGAGAAATTACAAAAACATGCCCGGATCACATTTTTCTAAGAAATAATCTTAAAATAAACAACCTTATAATTGATAGTTATATAATACACTACGACATCACTGACCATTACCCAATAATGCTCAATATCTCTCAGAAGTCAGCTCCGGAAACACATCAACCGCTCAGAAAAACAATAGTCAAAATCGATCCTACAAAGCTTGTTAAGTTATTCCAACAAGAAACTTGGCTTGATGTGATCAATTCTGTGCTACCTGAAAAAGCATATCAAAAGTTTATCGATACATTTTCAAGAATATACACACTTTGCAAAACAACAAAAATTCTCTTAATTAAAGAATATAATAAAATCAAACCTTGACTTGAAGAGAACAGAAATAACTTAAAGAAAACATATGTGATTATAGACCAGGCCATTAACATAAAAAACAGAAAAGATATTCTATTTTTTTGGTTTTACAGAAGGTCTTAACTCAAGTGATGCTATGTATCACCTAATAGAGAAAATTCAACAAAATTAGGATACTGATAAAAAGTGTTTGGCTGTGTTTCTGGATCTGGCAAAAGCCTTCGATATGGTGCCCCATAAAAACTTCTATATGATCTTGAACAAAATGGTGTGAGAGGTACTGTGTTGGGGGTGTTCGAGAGTTATTTGACTAATCGACAACAACAAGTGAAAATACGGGAAACTTTAAGTGACCCTAACATAGTGAAAATTGGAATTCCACAAGGAACTGTTTTAGGTCCAATTCTTTTCAATATACATATATATAAAATCAGTAACCGAATAAAATATCATGGGAAAAGTAATTTCACATGCTGACGATACTGTGATTGTTTTCAATAGTTTGACTTTGCAGGAGTGCGAGTGAATGCTGAAAATGGCATCTCACTGTTAAAAAATGGCTTGACTTTAACAAATTGTCACTGAACGTTAAAAAAACCAACTATATTGCCTTCACTAAAACTGAAAAAAAAATCGACCTCTGTTTCATTATATTGAAGTTTACAATTTGTTTGAGAAGATAATTGAGTAAAAGTACTAAATATCTTGGAATTATAATAGACTCTTACATAAGGTGGGACATGTATGGTAGCTCCTTAAGACCACTCTAAATTATTCAGTATAGAATTTTAAAAATAATTTATAAAAAAGATATATTATACCCAACTCATCTCATCTACAACAAAACACTTATAAATGTAAGGGCCAAATTATGGACCAACTGGTAAGTGTCTGGTTGGTACCTAGCAGGTACTTTATATTCTCTAGTACATAGAAAGTACCTGCTAGGTAACAACCAGACGTTTACCAATCAGTCCATAATTTGGCCCTAAGAACCATATTTTAGATCACTGTTATGGCACTAGAAGTAATAAATCTAGTCATCTGATTACACTAAGATGCAGAAGTGAGTTGGGTAAGAAGTCAGTTAGATACCTGGGTCCAAAAATGTATAACCTGTTGCCCCATAGCATTAAGTGCTCAAACACTAGGCCTTTCTCCAAATTGGCAAAGAGTTTTATAGTGGAACAGTATGACCAGTTTGTCATTGTGTTTGGTCAGTAATCCATCTTGTGGATATAGACATTTGTAACACCACACTGTTAAAGTTTAGATAAGTAATCAGTTTATTGTATTTTTTTCGTCGTCTGTTAATGATTTCTCATTTCAATAGATATTCACTCCTTTAAAATATTATTATACAGTGAGCACGTAAAGGTTGGAATAAAATCTATAAAATATACAGGGTGGATATTTTTTTAAAAACCTTGGACACATCAATTTTTGATTTTAGTGGCAGTTTTTTTGATAACACCATGTATACAGGGTGACTCAAAAACAAGTTATGACAACTAACTTTATTTTTTTTAATGAAAACACCAATTTTTTATTTCATTTTTAAATTCTACGTTAAATTCTGAACACATTTCATGTATCATGGCCTATACCTATCTTCAACTGTTTCGGTAATATTGACAGTTGAAAATTAACTTTTTTGCAACTTTGACAGGCTGTAGAACCTAAACGGTTTTTATTATTTTATTAGTACTGTAACAAATTTATTTCTGTTTTCTTTATACAGGGTGTAGGGTGACCTACATAAAAGTAACTACATGGGGATTTCGGAAACAGTATTGTTTGCCCAGCGGATCTGAGTCTACGGAAGGAATTCGGACGTAAATGTGCCACGTTGCCACGTTTAATTATAAAAAAGCGAAAATACTAGGCATGAGGTATAGTTAATTTGAACATCCATTTTTTGATAACAAAATATTGATAACAATAATAAAACGCTAAATATTTTAACTTGGTTGTTAGACCTATCCTTATTTTAATCCTGATTTCTTTAGTTTGGTCTATTGTAAAAAATAAACATTTTCTAAAGATACCATTAGCTTTTGACAATTTGGCAAGCATCCGTCCTGGATGAACCTGATTGGTGGAGTTTTTGGCAGGATCGCCGTTGTCATGGGGAACCATACGGTTGTCAAAGAGCTAACGTCAGCTTACGTCTCGCTATTGGCCAGGGCTCACGTCATTTTATCCTCCCATCTTGGAATATCGATTTATATTGACATATCCAGTGGCGGAGATTTGGTCATTGCTGATTTTCGTGTACGAGTTGCAATACGATAACACTTCCAAAAAGTTCCGCACGCAGCTGGGTATTTTATGAATGAAATCAGCCATTTTTTTTTACAACTGCATTCCCCTTACCGTTGCCCCGTAGACACAGACTGACTGGGCAGACATTAGAGATACAATTTTGGTCAGATGGGATTGATGGGAAAAAAGTTGCGCTATTCCAAGCCCAATCAGATGCTGCATCGAAATTGGAAATATCTACAGGGGTTTTCAAAATATTGAGCAAAAACCTAAAATAGTGTTTTTTGAAGAATTGAAATACTTATCGTCGCCATTTTGTAAATAATAGTTATTTATGTATCAAGGGAATTATGAGGGTGTTAATACCCCAGGGCAAAGTTTGAAAGTTTGTGTCCCGAGGGCCTTCAGCCCGAGGGACACCAATTGCCCTTGGGTATTAACACCTGATAATTCCCGTGGTACATAGATAATTTTATTTCCTACTGAATTTACTGTATTTTGTCCATTTTTATACAGCAATAAACCATAAATCAAAATTTCTATTTTTTGTCAAAGTTTCACCTATTCAAGGTAAAAGCGGGAGTTATGGAAATCCTTAACTCCCTTGGGAGTTATGATATCCTTAACTCCCTTGGGAGTTAAGACCCTGTTTATGATTATCGTAACCAAGGTATTATATCGTTATAATAGTTCAGTAGGAAATAAATTTATTAAAAAAAACACATTTTCACTTAGTCGGTTGTGAAACAGATGCCGTGTTTTGTTATCATAGCTTTATAACTATAGATATTTTCAGTTTCGAGGCAGCATCCGATTGGGCTCAAAATAGCGCAAATTTTTTCCCATTTAACCAAAATTGTATCTCGGTTTCAGAAATCCCCATGTAGTTACTTTTATCTGGGACATGTATTTGAAGATTTTGTCAATAGAAATTTCCAAAAAAAAATTATTCACAATAAATAACTTACCTCATGATTTAAATATTGGCACAAGTACATAAGCTGCGGTAACATAAGATCAGACATTGAGATAGCCATTGCAGTTAAAAATTGAGCACAAAACTTGGAACCCTGATAAAAAAATTAAATTGATGAAACAAATAAATTTTTACTGAAATTAGTTACCTGGCTATCCTGAAATTTCTCTTCAGTTTGCCATTCTGTAATTTCTCTAATGATGGCAGGAATCAAACCTTTGCAATTGAATTTTTCAACCAATTGCTTTAATCCTTCTGACACGCACTGAATTAGGTGTTCTTCGTCTTTTATCATTTGCGACATTCTGATGGCAAAAGTTGTACTGAGATTGTATTTTTTTATCAGGGTACCTAAAAATTTAATTATTATGTTATCTAAAATTAAAAATAATTTGAAAAATTACCAATGACATTAAAAATTTCCTCTCTGATTTCTTTTTCAGCTTTAACTTGAGGATTGGCCAAGAGCTTGTAACAAACCTCTGCAATAATGTTGATCAAATTTTCTTCAACAACTGGCGGGTCCCAAAATGTTTCTATGTCAGCATAAATTATCTTATTTAAGGTTTGTAAGATCAGTGATTTATTTAAACTATAAGCTGTTTCGTCTTTTTGTTTATTTCGTCCTTTTAACAGACCTTGATTTTTAATTGATACAACATTTTTATGTTCTATCAACAATATTGTCTGAGTGTAAACGTACATTAGCATTTTTATTATATTCTGATATTTTTGTTTTAATTCATCATCTAGCATTGACTTATCTTCAAGTGAAATTGCGAGTATTTTACTGAGATCAGTAGCAGCTAAAAATAAAATAAATTCAAAAAAATGTTTCAATAATGAAAAATTGCCATGAAGATTCCTACCTGTTTGCAGATCTTTATAGGAATTGAAAAGCACGTCCATTGGTATGCTGCCTTCATTATGTAAAACTGAATAGTATACATCAAAATAGTCTATAATAAATTCTGGTCCCTCATCCCTGAATGTCTGCCTAGCTTCTAGAATGGAAAAAAAATATTACTTAAAAATTTCTTTTAAAAGTAACTCTACTAGATTATTGCAGGTTAAATATACAGTGGATATTGGATGTTAGCGAGGATGTTAGGTATATGTTGTATTGGATAGATATTACATTAGTAATTTGGACATATTCCTCAGATAAACTCGCTTCAAAGAATGTGGAGAGAATTTTTAGGTATTTCAATTTTTCGACCCCTATCTTTTTTCAGAAATTTTGTGTTCAAATCCCACAATAAATCACTGTATAGCCAAAGTTTGTATCGAGTTTCTGAGATCCCAAATGATCGTTCAAAGAAAATATCCACATAAAAAATTTGAAATTATACCGTTTTTGAAAACTCCGAGGAATAACTTTTGGTTTTGGACGTAGTCCAACTTTCAAACAGTATTATAGTCACTAGATAGGGAGTATTGACTTCTTTCAAACAACTATAGGTACATTACAAATTCAAATTTAGAATTTTATTTCCAAATATGCAAAACCAATGTAATTTTAAGGTCAGCCAAATAGATAACATATACTGGGTGTCCCACGACGTGTTACCCAAGTGATAATTTCGGAACGCGTCTTCATATGTTCCACTGTGTAATTTTTTTTATCATTTTCCTAAACAATAAAAATAGAACACAGAATTTTACAACTTTTCAAATACCATTTCATCGTACAAACTATGGTTTTAATTTGCCATTATATAGATGTTCTAAATTGGTTAACGAACATCATTTGGAGATTTTTGGTTTAACTTTAAATCAGTTTAAAGGACAATTCAAGAGGATTACTGAGTAGTGAGCAAGATAGTGTAATTTTAGGCTTAATTATAAGAAGTTTTGTAAGCTGAATTAAGTTACTTATATTGTTAAGCAATTTATTAACATAACTATAAAATTGTTTGTTAATTGTAACTATTAATGGGGTTTTCCCATCTACCAGCTACCATTTATAACATGGTTACAAACGATAAGTCACTAAAAAATTCTTAAAGGTTTAGTAAAAAATTCGGCCTTGGACTTGGATTTATTTTAATTCGGTCTGCGATTTTACCAGATAAAACTTTGTAAAACTAAATATGTTACCAATTACCAGATCACCTGTTGATTTTATGGTATTTTACCAGATCAAGATCTATATACTTAGTAAAAAAAAATACCAAGAATGCCACACTGAACAAAGTTGACATTTTTAGGAAATCTTATCATTCTTATCCCAATAGAGGTCTACAAACCCAGAAAATTTCAGCTCATTCTGACTCACAGAAACCCTGCCAAGACCTCCTATTATGTATATTTCGTCTAAAAAAACGAACTACATAAAAATCTCGAAATCTACTGAAAGAATATAACATGATATCAATAAATTATTCGAAGGCAAAATTAGAGAAAAACAGCAAAAAAACTAGACAATAACCTACCTTTGAGCTTCCCAAGAAGTTCTCTAGTAACAATAACATTTTTAACGTGATAATCACTTTCGTCTGCCTCCGTTAATAGCTCTACTAGTTTCGAGGGTATATTAAACTTGAAATTAGCCATTTTAAATCATTAAACACCAAAAAATCATTGAAAACTAAACACAATTTTTATTCAAAAGTTCTTGTTGTCTATGCAGCATTCCAAACCGAAACAAAATAGTCGTTGGTATTTTGAAATTGACAATTTTGACGTTGACACAACGAGCTTCAAATATTTCTTTTACTTGGGGCGCGTTCAGATTGAAGAGTCTGGGCGACGTCCAGTGCAGAGCGTACCCGATAGAGAGTGCACTCCGAGTATGCCTGGCGATTCGCCCAATCTGAACGGCCAAGACGCATTCTCTCCTCATAACATCACTATTTATGGGATGCTTTGATTTTGATTTTGTTGCCTTTTCAAAATTCACTGTGTGTTCGTGATTCTAACATTTTTGTAAAATAAGAAAAAAGAAAATTCAAAGATAATCAACTCTTATTTTATTTTATTTTGATTTTTTTTGGTAGAACTATCACATATAAAATAATACCTCTTAACCCTTAATTCTTATTTTAATTTATTTCCTATTTTATTTTATTTGTTGGATAAACTCGCCATAACTCCCAACAATAATATTTACAATATTTGCCTTTATTATTGGTTAGAACATAAACATAACACAAACGCGCATGCGGGGCAAATTTTATCTTACTATTTTATGGGATGCAAAAGTGTGCGTCTGGGTGTCGTCAGGTAAAAATCTACTGACAATCTGAACGGCTGGATAAATTTTACCCAAGGCAATCTGAACGGTCAGAGCGCGCTCGGGCGACAACCGACGTTCAATCTGAACGCAGCCCAGGGGCGAGTTCAGGAATGACACACTCAGTGTGAGTGTGACACCGGTGCGACGCACTAGCCGTTCATAAATGCTATACGCACATCGAGTGCGCGCACTCTGTGCCGTTCAGAAAGTACTTTGGGCGCGCTCGTGTCGCACCGGTCACACCATAATTTTTTGGTGTGGCTGCGGTGTGATTGTGTCTTTATATCAACAATGTCAACCATTCCTCCCATAATCTCAATAATCCCACCAAATATAAACAAAACACAAGTAAGAATTGGTCACACTATAGGCGATTTTCAGCCTGTAATGATTATTTATCGGTAAATACCGTGGTTATTCTTTTGGTTGACAACTTTGACAGCCAGGTGTGACGTCACAGCCCCCCACCACTGTGTAGGATTATGTTTATGATTCCGATTTGTTTTTTCGTTTCAACAATGGTTTGTTGTAGGGATGCGCAAAATTTTGAAAACATCGATGTTGACATCAAATGATACATCGAATATGCACAATCGATGTTGTAAAAACATCGGCTTGAAAATATCGATGTTTCTAAACATCGATGTTTTTGAAAATATGGCAAGAAAAAATTGAACTGTTAATAGAGAGATTTTAAGCCGCTGAAAAATCAGCATTAAACATTAAACGTTATACTGCTCATGCGCAATAGCTTGAGAATTGAGGATAATATAAATAACTGATATTGTGTTCCTTTATTTATGTTCCAATAAGGGCAACATTATTAAGGGAAATGTTATCAACATCGTTGTCAAATTTAAGTTGAATAATTTGATTTTCAGATAAAAATGAAATAATTACAAGTAGAAGAAGTCCATCTACATGGATGCTTCTGCAAAACATTATCTACATTACATAAATTATATATTTGCTTCGAAAAACACAAAATATATACTTAACGAAATTTTGGTGGCATCCTTGTATTTATCCAGCAACAAAAATGTATATGAAATTATAGGAAAATCACTGAAAATAATCGTTAACGAAAGAAAATGTATGATTATGAGATAGGGATCGAACAGCAGACGCAGTCGTCAAAACTTGAAAACTGATGTTTTTAACGTAAGCACAATCTAGTGGCTTCAAAAACTGAAATAGGGGATAATGCAATACCTTATTTTGTACCGAATGCGCATGCCCCATTTAACGTTTAGTGTGTATAATGACTAGTCAGAAAATGATGGCTTAAAATCTCTCTATTAAATAGAATATCATTTTCACTTAACCTACTTATGTATTTTTATCCCATTTTGACGTTTCAAAATGACATTATTGAACGCATAACGATAAAGGTAAGTAGACGTTTATCACCTCAGTGATTTAAAAACATTTTAACTCACTCATAGCATTTTAAATCACTCTGCCCAACTGAAAGTCCGAAACCTCAGTGATTTAAAATATTTTTAACTCACTCTCGGCATTTCCTTGTACTTCATTTTTTGAATTTCCACAAAATGGGATAAAATTTTGTGTACATCACGTGAGTTAAAATGTTTATTCATTCGAAGAAAATTAACCCACTCGCTAGAGCTCGTGGGTTAAACTTTCTTCTCATGAATAAACATTCATGTAACTCACTTGGTCTATAAATAACTATTAATATAATATACCTACATACACGTAATAAATATGCGATTTTTAATGAAGAAAAAGTACATTTGAAAGCAAACAATAGCAAGAACTAAGCACTAGGTAGTAAATCTAGTTAGATACTTGACTTATAAGTCATATGAATACGAGTAACAATCATATTTGAATCACAATTATTATCCAAGAACAGCACCCACTAAGCAAAAAAACATCCCAATTTCGTTAAAATCATGTTTGTCTGTTTCAGTGTTACGTTATACAAGCTGAAACATTTGCGTTCTAGTTGCATCACATAGTCGTTATAAGTCCTGCAACGGGACTTTATAGTAGGTACGTTAAAAAAACTGACGTTGCTGTTCTGTTCAAAAAAACATCACCAAAACGTAACATTTTCGTAACAGAAACGTCGCCACTAAACGTAACATTAACGTTCAATAATAACATTATTGCGACGTTTTTAAATTAGCTGATAAAAACGACACCATTAAACGGAACATTAACGTTATGAAAATAACGTTCTTAGGACGTTTTTGATATGTCGTTCAATTTAGGAAGAACCTCCTAGGTCAAAAATTTGAGTTTTTTAGTTAACATAAAAACATTCCAAACATTATTCATAATTCCATGTGGAAAATCGTCATCAGTACTATTTGTCTATTAACACGACAGCGTTTTAGTGACGTTTTAGCCACACAAAAATATAGGTTTGAACTGTTTTTATGTTAACTCAAAAATTCCAATTTTTGAGTTAGGCAACGTTCTTCGATAAAGGAATTTGCTTCCGTACTTATCCTTTTGGCAAAAATCTTTTTGTACTACAACTTATTGGTAATGACCTGTAAATATAAATAAAAAGACACAGCTATAATAATCTTTATCACAAATCATTTTATTTCTGATTTATAATTAAAAGTAGGTAATAATATAGTAGGTATTCTATTCATTATTGGGCTCCCTTTTCAAACGCTGAGAAGCGTGGCGAAACCAGTCCATCATGGTAGCTTCGAACTGTTTATCAGTAGCTTTGAAAGTTTTCTGAACTGCTCCTAGCAATAAAAAATACCAATATTTTTAAAGAATCTTTGAAAAAATCAAAATTTTTAAAGAATCTTTGAACAAATTTTGTTGCATTTATTTCTAAACACCCTCATACCACCTAATGGTTTGCGTTTGAGGAACCGAGACCTCTTGGAAAAATTATTAGTGACATCAATTGTTCATATTATTGTGTGTTGATGTATTTGCTGTATGTATTTGTGACAAAATATTTTAGAGGAGCCTATTTTAATTATCGATTCAAAATTTACTTGGAATTTCCTTCCTATTCCCTGAACGCCGCGATCGAGGCGGCTCAATGAAAAACAGATAATATATGCGCATGCGCGACGAATAATTAGAATATATCAGAAAACAATCTTAATTGATTAATAGAGAGTTATTGGAACTATTAAATACTGCCTAGCAGTATTAAGGATCTACGTTATTTTATTAGTGCATCAGCACGATTTCTCCAAGAAAAAAACAGTTATTGGAAGACTGTAGTAGGTGCTAGAGTATTACCTTATTTTGTATTCATAATTTTGACAGCTGATAGCTATGTTTATAAATTTCAGCCTCAAAAAGTGTTTATTTTTGTTTGTGATTTTCTGCTGATACCCATGTTTTGATGTTACCCACAGTAAAATGGAAAACTATTGTAAAAAATAAATTTTTCTAAGTAAAATTACGTCATCTTCGAAAAGCAAAACGTCAAAGTCGTCCAAAATGTCAGAAATTTGAAATAAGGGAAGTTTACTGCCTTGCACTAACCATACACAAATAAAGACAAGCAGTAACCTTATTTAGGGAATCCTTATTTTCAGACCCAAATGCGCATGCGTAGATGTCAAAATAAGACTAACTTAAATACTGCTTGTCCTTAGGTTCGTTCCAACCCCCCGTTTTCGTATCGTCATGAAACGGTTTCGGAACTGTTAGGATCGATTGCAGGCGCATGCGTTGACCTTGCACGGTTTTATCTTGGTACAGAAACAACGGGTAGTTGGAACGGTTTCATGATCGTTTTCGTAATGACGACAGTTCAAATAACTTTAACCCTAAATTTGTTTGTTTGCAAATTAAAATAGAAGAATATAGGATTAGGATTACAAAATAATATATAAAAAAGGAAAATCGAACACCAACGCTGATTCATTATCAAGAATCTAAAACTGAATCCTTGCAAGCTGATAACATCAAGGATTAGCAAATAGCTGATAATAAATTTTGTACTTTTTTTCACTTGAAAAAATAAAAATGCTACAGTTTTATAAGTTAGATTGGAAATTGGTTGTTTAACAACAACATGAACAACAAAAACAGGTGACAAAATAGTACATTAAAATACAAGTTTCATAAGACGTCATTTTATCGCACGAGCCCTATATTAGAAAACGAGCCGGAGGCGAGTTTTCTAAAGGGCGAGTGCGATAAAATGTCTTATGAAACGAATATTTTATACTATTTTTTCTATTTTGGTATTGTTTAATTAAAAAAATCAAATTTTTCTTGGAAATTTTATTCTCATATTTCCTGATTTCATATGTTTAGGTTGGTAACACTACATGCCAAATATAGAAATCTTCTATTTTTAAAATTGCGAATGACAGTTCGATGGCCATCAGTCAGCCAGTGTTACCAACCTCCGATAAGTAAAAAAGGA